CTTGAACCTCTGGGAATTCTATGTCAATGTATGATTGTAGCCATTTCTGTATTACCTTTAGCAAAACTTTACTTGCTTAAGATATCAAAGAGATTGTCTGATGATTTCCACATTCTGTTGGGTCACCTCTCTTTGGAATGGGCACAAATGTGAATCTCTTCCAATCAGTCGGCCAGATAGTTGTCTTCCAAATTTCTTGGCAGAGATGAGTGAGTACCTCCTGTGCTGCCTCACTTTCTTGAAATATTTCAATTTGTAGTCACCATCAATTCCTGGTGCCTTGTTCTTTGCCAATTCCTTCAATGCACCTTGGACTTCCTTGCTAAGTATCATTGGCTCTTGATCATATGCTACCTCTTGAGATGGTTGAACATTAACTATTTCCTTTTGGTATAGTGACTCTGTGTATTGCTTCCATCTTCTCTTGATGCTTTCTGCATCATTCAATAATTTGCCCAGAGAATCTTTCAATACTGAAAGTCGAGGCTTGAATTTTTTCTTCAGTTCCCCCAGCTTGAGAAATGCTGAGCGTGTTCTTCCTTTTTGGTTTTCTGATTCCAGATCTTTGCACATTTTGCTGTAATACTTGGCTTTATCTTCTCGAGCTGATCTTTGAAATTTTCTGTTCAGCTCTTGTGCCTCCTCGTTTCTTCCATCTGACTTAGCATCTTTATGCTGGAGAGCAAGTTTCAGTGTCTCTTCTGACATCATTTTGACCTTTTCCTTCTTTCTTGTCTTTTCAGTGTCTTTTTGCTCTCTTCATGTATGATGTTCTTGATGTCACCCCACAACTCTTCTGGTCTTTGGTCTTTAGTGTTTAATATATCAAATCTGTTCTCCAGATAATCTCTAAATTCAGGTGGGATGTATTCAAGGTCATATTTTGGCTCTCGTAGACTTGTTTTCATTTTCTTCCACTTCAGTTTGAATTTGCATCAGAGTAATTGATGGTCTGTTCCACAGTCTGCCCCTGGCCTTGTTTTCACTGATGATATGGAGCTTTTCCGTCTTCTCTTTCTGCAGATGTAGTCAGTTTGATTTCTGTGTATTCCTGCTGGTGAGATCCATGTGTATAGTCGTCTCTTATGCTGTCTAAAGAAGGTATTTTAAATGAACAAATCATTGGTTTTGCAGAATTCTATCATGCGTTCTAATTAGCCATGGGCCCTAAAAAATACGTGGACTATAGAGTCAGCGGTCAGAACTCGAATCATGGCCCCAAAGAGATGCTTTTTAAAAAGTTGCCTGGAATTCTTTGTAGGTGGCACAAATAACTAAGCCCTTGACTTCTACCTGAAGGGTTGGGGGTTTGAATCCACCCCACCCCCACCCCCCGAAGTGGCTTGGAAGAAAGTCTCAGTGGCTTGCTTCTGAAAGATCACAGCCTTGTTCTTTACATGTGCACGTGATGTTGCCATGAGTTGAAATCAGCTCTGCAGCAAGTGGTTTTTTGTTTTTAACCCTCTGTATCAAGGAGCTCTGGTAGCTTAGTGGTTACATATCAGGCTGCTAACCTCAAGGTCGGCAGTTCAAAACTGCCAGTTGTTCCGCGGGAGAACGAAGAGGCTTTCTGCTCTCGTAAAGATTTACACCGCAACCCTGTGTAGGGTCACTATGAGTCAGAACCGATTCCATGGCATTTAACAACAACAACATCAAGCTCATGGGAGTCCTCGTGTGGCGCTATAGGATAAGCACTAGACTGCTAACCACAAGGTCAACGTTTCAAACCCACCAGCCACTCCTTGGAAAGCCTGTGAGTCAGAACTCACTTGACAGCACTAAACTGCAATGTAAAGCTCATAATGGATGGAAGTATGGCCAGGGAAGGCTTTCAGAGAAGCTGCACTTCTCCAGACAGAGAAGATAAGAGCAGGCATAAAGCCTAGCTCCTGAGCCTGCCCAGCCTTCCAGCCTTTGTTTTTGTGGTAGTCACACGCTGTCAGTCACTACCATGAACACTGGGCATCAGCCCCCCCTCCTCCCCATGAAAATAACCAATAGGAGAAGTTGCCGCCCTCTCTTGGCCCATTGGCAGGGGCAGCAGGTGGAGCTAGGCCTCTACTGGTGGTCCCTAAGCATCCTACGTCTGGGTATACAACATACTTTGTCCTTCCTGGTTGATCCTTCAGCCTGGCTGAGTTGGTAGAGGAACCTGAGGCTCAAAGAGCTAGCTAGGTGCTTGCCCTAGAACACCCAGGAACTAAGAGGCAGAGTTCCTGATATCAAGGCCCTTTAGGAGACACTGCGCTATGATAGAAAGGAGCACTAGGGGTGGGGAGGAGGGTGGGGGCGGGCCTTCATTGAGCTCGGAGCCTGACGTGTCAGGAGTCCTGGTATGAGTAAGGGGAAGGTGCTGAATGTCGAGTCTAAGGCAGAAGACAATACAGAGACCCATGATTCAGGGCTTCAGGACTTGGTTTCTGTGGATTTGGTTACTCTCTTGACCTCGATGCCCATTTCCTTCCTACCCCACCTCCTTTGCCATCAAACACCTTCTTACTGTTGAAAACTCAATTCATACATCACCTCCTTCAGGAAGCCTTCCCTGAATGTCCAGGTTGGGGTTCCTCCCTCCCCAATGTTGGTCTTTATCCTTTCTTGAAAGCAGAGACCAGCGAGTACATATGGCTAAAGCCCTGAACGTGTGGCCTTTTCACTGCAACATGAGCCAACTTGTGCAACCAAAGAGGGTGCTTGCTTCCTTAGGCTTTGGGGAGTTAGGGAGGGTGTTGGGTGGGGAGTACGGGCTGTGTGTTGGAGGGCTGCTATCTGCAGGACTTTTGCTGGAGCTCAGGTGAGCTGACCCAGTGACTCTGCCACACTGAGCTAACCAACCCCTTGGCACCCAACTTTTGTTCTGTTTCTAGCCTTCCTTCCCAGGACGAGGAGTTAGGAGTCCAATCACTGTCACACCCTCCCCAGCGAGAGCCTGAGGAGCCCCTATTCACCCTCTCTCGGGGGCCACCTCAGCCCCGATCTCCACCTCCCAGCCTCCCAGAAATCCCCCCGAAGCCACGACACCTGCTTCTGGAGTTTGGTGAGTACTGCAGCCTGCGAGGGGACAGGGCTCCGAATGCTTCCTCAGGGGAGTCCCCGGTAGAATGTGAAAGGATCAGATTGCCTCTCTGCCAGGCCCCAAGACTGAGTCACTGGTCCACACCTGAGCCAGGCTCTGCCACCAGCCCACCGTAGGGCCCTGGGCAAGTCACTCAACCTCTCTGAACATCATTTTCTTCATCCTCCAGATGGAGGTGGTATCATCTGCTTGACCTATTGACTGGCATGGCAGGCTTTCTGAGAGAACCAGAGACTAGTCTAGAAATATTTTCCATTGTTGTGGTTTTCTTTTCCTGGGGTTGTCTACATTTCTTGTTTCTCTGATTATTTTTGCTTTTTTAGGCAATCCTAGCCCCCTCCTCCTCAAAGTCAGACCTCCCTCTGGTAGTCTGCCTCTCCTCTCTCTGGCTGCCCCTTAGTGCTGACCACAAGGCCTGAGGGTATAAATAGCACTTCCTGTCCCCTCTGCCTTTATTTGAAAGTCAGGCTAGGGTGGGGGTGGGGAGCTTTCTTGGTCTGGGGGTGGCCTTTGTGAAACAGGCTGAGGAGCCTCTGGAGAGGAAGCTAGGCTCCTTGTGTCTTATGTCTCTCATCACCACCATCTCTTCCAGATGACTCTGACTATGATGAGGTCCCAGAGGAGGGGCCTAGGGCCCCAGCCAGCGTGATGACCACAAAGGTGGGGCAGACAGGACAGTGGTTAGGGGTTTGGTCTGTCTCTCTGCCTATTGAGAGGAAGAGAGGGCTACCCAGCTCCTTTTCAGATCCTGGGGGCTCAGGGGTTACTCCAGGGCCCCCGTGCTGATGGCCACCAATGTGGGCAGCTGTTTCCTAGGAGGGCTCCCCTTCCATCTTCACTGTCTGGTCAAATAGAGGTCAGGGGTCAAGTATAACCCCAGAACTCTACCCTGGGGATCTGGGAGCTCTGGCCTGTGGCTGGTTGTGTATGCCCTTCCCCTGTGTTTTAAGCACATCTGTCTGAAAGTGTCTGTCCATCTCTCTGGTTGAATGTCCCTGTTTCACTTTTTGTTTTCCTATGTCACCATTTCTCTGCGTGTCTTGTCTCTATCCTGAGTCCCTTTCTTGACACCTTTGTCTTTCTTTTTATCTCTGTCCTACGTATGTGTCAGCCACTGATACCCTCAGTCCCTGGGGTCCTGTCTCTCTGGGGGGTGGGGGTATCACTGTGTGGCCTTCAATGCTGGTGGGGCGGGAGGTATGTGAGGAAACAGACATAGAAGTGCTGAGTTGTCTGGGTTGGAGATGGAATGGACAGAGGGAGTGTGATCTGGGACTTGAGGGGAAACGTGACGCTGAGCTGGTTTTGGGGGGACAGGAGGAACCCCCACTGAGCCAAGTCCCACGGGCAGTGAGAGTGGCCAGTCTGCTGAGTGAGGGGGAGGAGCTGTCAGGGGACGAACAAGGGGATGAGGATGAGGATGAGCACGCTTATGAAGGTGTCCCCAAGTGAGTATTCACTCTTTCTGTGTGACCCACCCAGCCCAGTCACTGCCCTCCCATCTCCTCGACCCCTACTCCATGGGAGTCCCTGCCCTGGTCCCTAGAATGACCAGGCACACTCCCACCCCCTCCTCCCCACCGTACCCTAATTCTCTCTCCTTTTCCCCTAGTGGTGGGTGGCACACTGGCAGCCTGAGCTTACCGCACCTGCCCAGTGGTCCCCTGATTCCTGAGCTCCTGCCACACTCCATGGACGGGCTGCCTGGGGGTCCCACCCCCATCACACCAGTCATCAAGGCTGGCTGGCTGGACAAGAACCCACCACAGGGGTGAGTGAAGCCTGTTGGGTCCTGCTGGTGGTCTGCATGGGGGTGGGCAATACCCAGAGTACTGATATATATCATGGCTCCAAAAACTGGAGGAACCAGGTCTCCATCCAGGCAGAATATAACTGTGCTTGAATTTGAAAGCCAGACTTTATGTCTGACTTCAGTTGGGGGACCATTTAGAATTATCTCTGCCTTGACCTGAATGTTCTGGACCCATGTGTGGCTGTCAGAGGGGGCGGGGGTGATCCTGGACCCTCTCCCCTCACCCGCAGTCCTCTGCTCTGCCTTCCCTTTGTTTAGATCTTATATCTATCAGAAGCGATGGGTGAGACTGGATGCTGAGTACCTACAATACTTTGATAGTAACAAGGTGAGACCCACTTTGGTCCCTGGCCTGACCTGAGCCTAGCCCTACACTGACCCCCCAAACCTGGATCCTGGTAGAGTCCTTCCATTGATGAGTCCCGATGACTCTCCCAGTCTGACTCCTTGAACTGTGTCTTCCCAGCCCCTTGGCCAATGGCAGATCATGGTCAGGTCAGCGTTGGAGCTGCCTGTAACCACCTGAGAGAAATAGGGCTGCAAACCTTCATTTCAACGGAGGTTGAGGGGAGCTGGAGGGACTGGGGCTCTGGAGGCCTTATCCCCGCACCTCCGCTAAAACCCTACTCTTGTTCCCTAGGATGCTTACTCCAAGCGCTTCGTCCCTGTGGCCTGCATCTCCCGCGTGGCTGCCATTGGGGACCAGAAGTTGGAAGTGATCACTAATAACCGGACTTTTGTCTTCCGGGCGGAGAGTGATGGTGGGGAGCGAGGGAGGGGAGGATTATGGAGGGAGAGAAGAACTGGCAGTGTGGCCAGAGGAGAGAGAAGGGAACCAGAATGCATCTGTCCCTTCCCAACACCCTCCCTGCACACCCAAAACAGAGTTCTGGCTCTGAGGTGGGGGGAGAGGGGCACATCCTCTGACAGGCTGTGTACTTGAGACAATCCCTGAGCCCTTGAAAACCAGGCTCAGAGTAGTGAAATGACTTGCCCAGTGTACGTGGCTCCACTGGGACTGGAGTTGAGCTTGTCCAAGTTGGGGGAACTCAGGAAGAGTAATAGGTGGGGTCAGTCTGGGTGGGCTTCCTGATGGAGGTGTTGCCCAAGAAGCCTGGGGCCAGGGGACCCTGAAGGACTTCTAGTCAGAGCTCAGGCTCACTGCCTGTCTTTTGCTCACAGCTGAGCGGAAGGAGTGGATTCAGGCCCTGCAGCAGGCTGTGGCTGACCAGCGTGCCCGGGCCCGGCTGTCTAGCGCCTGTCCACTGGGAGTTCTGAGCCCAGAGCCACCTGACCGCTCCGGCAGCCTGGAGCTACGTGGCTTCAAGAGTAAACTGTATGTGGCCGTGGTCGGGGACAAAGTGCAGCTGTACAAGAATCTGGAGGTGTGAAGGGGTCCACTGGTCACCAAATCCCCTCTCCTTCTTATTGACCTGTTTCCTCCACCCTGCCCTTTGCCCACCTGGCCCCTCATCCCCACTGTGTGCACACCCTGGGTTTAGGCCCTTTTCCCTTTCCCTCTTCCCCTCCTTGTACTAAACCCAGCCCCTTGTCTGCCTACTTCTCACCACTGATTCTGACCCTGTCTCCTACCTGGTCCCTGAACATTGACCCCTCTCCCCATCTCTGGCCTCATACCCACTGCCTCTGTGGTCCATGAGTCCAGGCCCATGTACATGGTCAGATTCCTGAGCCTGCCCCTATCTCCTTCCTGGGTTCTTTCTAGTTCCTAGGTACCACCTCCACCTGCTCCCAACCTTGAATCCTGCCCCCTCCAAACCCCACCTTTACTTCTCTCACCCCTCCCCACTTATCGTCCAGGAATACCACCTGGGCATTGGTATCACCTTCATCGACATGAGTGTGGGCAACGTGAAGGAAGTGGACCGGCGCAGCTTTGACCTCACTACACCCTACCGCATCTTCAGGTTAGTCCTACCCTCCACACATCTGCATCCTCTCCCACTCCCACATTTCCTGCTGGCATAACTCTCTTCACAGCCCTGTTCCATCTGACTGGTTCTTCACATTCACACATACCTGCTCTGACCTCCCGCTCTAAGACGTCTCACTCCATGCCCCCTTTCCTGCCTCACCTCTCAAAGTCATCCATACTGACTTTCTGTACCAGGTGTTCCCCTGCTCCTGCCTGCCCCGACTACCTCAGAAGTGCCCTCGTCATCAAATGCCACTACTCCCGGCTTTGTGGGACCTGGTCTGGATGCTCCTGAGCCTCCAAGATTCCATGTCCTGTAGGCGGCTTCTGATCTCTGCTGTCCCTCATGAGCATCTGTCTCTGTCCTCTGCCATCTCCCTGGCAGGCCTTACCCACTGGCAGGCCTTCAGCTACCCCCTCTGAGGCATATGCAGTGCCACATGGGTTCAAGTCCTGGGTCCACCATTTACCAACTGGGTAACCTGGACAAATCACTTAGCCTCCCTGTACTTTAGTTTCCTACTCTGTGAAGTCAGAACACAGTAATCTTTGTAAAGCTGTTGTTTGACAGTATGTAGTAACTGCTCAGTGTAACGTCAGCATCTCCACCATCCTAGCCCAGATAGCTGTCTCCAGCAAGATTTTTCTTCTAAGCTCAAAACCTGCGTGTCTAACAACTGTGTGGACATTTCCCCCTCTTGACTCCCTCCCCGGCTCACTGCCCCTCCCAGGCCCCATTCTATCCATGGAGGTCCTGCTTCTCCTACTCAGTCCTGTGCAGACCCAGCACTACACTTGTCTTGCCTCCATCACATCTCTCACCTCAGTGTTTTCCCATGCATTTGCCCCTATACCATTTTGGCCCAGGGCTGTGGACTCTATGGTCCAGGGTTCCTGCTTCTTCACCCTTGGCTGCCCATTGGAAGCCCTTCAGCCTTGTCTTTTATGACTCTGCTCTTTTACACATTCTGTTCCCTCTGTCCAGAACTCCCTTCCACCTCTCCACTTGGTGTGTCCTCCTTACCAGTCAAGCCCTAGCACAGGTATCATTTCCTCCCAGAAGCCTTCTCTACTCCCTGGGCTGGGTCAGAGTTCCTCAGCCTCCCCTGACCCCCTAGCTCCCATACATTTCTCAGGATTTTGACTATCGCTGCTCCTGTTTGTGATGGCCTTCCCACCAGACCCATGATACCTTCCTCTTCTGATCACAAGCTCTCAACACCTTGTCTCTCCCCACCACTTTATCCTTGTGCTGCCCCCAAATCCCTCTTGAGTCCTTTCCCACCAGCCCCGCCACTCTTGTGTCCCCAGCTTCTTGGCTGAGTCAGAGCTGGAGAAGGAACAGTGGCTAGAGGCCATGCAGGGAGCCATTGCTGAAGCCTTGTCCACTTCAGAGGTGGCTGAACGCATCTGGGCTGCCGCCCACAACAGGTTCTGTGCCGACTGTGGAGCTGCCCAACCTGACTGGGCCTCCATCAACCTCTGTGTTGTCATCTGCAAGCGCTGTGCAGGTGTGTGTGTGTTTGGGGGGGGTGGGCAGGGTAACATGACAGGGATAGTTTGTTAGGAGGGCAGGTGGCCTGTCTGGCTGGAAGTGAAGACAGTTATCAGAAGAGCCACCATTCCTCATAAAGTTCCTCCTGTATGCTAAGCCTTTCCCACTGTGATTAACTGTCAGTCCTCCTTTCACAACATTCCATTTCCCACATTATGAGTAGGGAAACTGAGGCACAGAGCAAGAGTGCCTTGTTGGGGTCTCCTGGAAAATGAATGAGTCTGTATTTCAATCCAGGCCTATTGTGGCCCAGTGCCTCTGTCACATCAGAAGAGTCGGGAAGTGAAGTAGGAGGGACTGGCCTACAGAGTGGGAGCTGGTGTCTTGTCTTGTGAGGGATAGGGGGAAATGGCTGCTTGTCCGGGGAAACACTCTTTGAGAAGTGACATTTGAATAGCATGGAGCCAGTCATGCAGAGGTGGAGAAAAAGCCCAGTGAGTGCAAAGGCCCTGAGGCAGGACTGAGCATGGCTATTAGATGGAGGAGAGGTGGAGGGTTGAGGAGATGCTGGGAGTCTTGGCTTGAGAAGAGATCAGAGAGAGCAGGAGGAGGCAGGTAAGGAATTTAGTTCTAGTTCTGGGGAGCTACTGGGAAGTGTAAAGCAGGGATTTGAAGTGAAGGGGATTTGCATTTTAAAGAGATTACTCTAGTGGGTGGGTGGGTGTGAGTGAGTGAGAGTGAGCTCATAGACAAATGTGCATGTGCGGTGGCCCCGGCAGGTCTGTTAGGAACCACGGAGGGTCTGCTGCCCACCTGGTTTGAACCTGATGGGGCTCAGTCCTGTGGCACAGGAGTGCCTGGCTGGGTTTTGTAAAAGGTGGAGGTCCAGGCATGGAGCTGCAGCATGGGTCCTATCTGTCCCTGGATGGGCTCTGGGGGTATTGGAAGGCCTAGAACAAACCCCAAGTCTGGCCCTTTGTCTGCAGGGGAACACCGTGGCCTGGGCGCTGCCATCTCCAAGGTGCGGAGCCTGAAGATGGACAGGAAGGTGTGGACAGAAACACTCATTCAGGTAAGCTCTCCCCAATTGCTACCTGTACCTGAGATTTGCCCCATTCAGCTGCTACCTAGGTCTTCCAAATCCATAGCCCCTAGCTAGAGACTTTGGGGATAATCTAGTGGTTGGGGATTTTGGAAAAGCTGATTTTTGGTAGTTGGCAAAGTGGCCTGCAATGATTTTACAATTATAAAGGGTTGTTAAAAAAAAAAATGTTCATTTAAAATTCCATTATCTTTCAAGTGTATTTTCCATGAGCTTTTTGAAGCCTCCTTGTGTGTCCTGCAAAGCCTCGAATATTTATTGTTTGGCCCTTTCTGACAAGAATTTGCTGACTCTTTATCCAAAGTCCAACTCCCATCTCATTGTAGAGATATAGAAACTGAGGCACTAGACAGGTCTGTCATCTGTCTGCAGTTTCCTCGCAAATCCGTATTGGGCCCTCCCACTTCCTGTCTGGCCTACAACCTTCTCCCCTTCCTTGTATACCCCTCAGGACCTCTTATCCTTCCTTCATTTCATGTGTACTCACAGGTGTTTTTCAGTAGATGCATTTTAGGATACACAAATACATATGCACTTATGCTTGAATACTTGGGTTTCCAGTTACCAGTATGTGTGGTAATTACAGGAAGAACATGTGATAGGAATCTGGACCCAGGAACCTACAAGGGCATTCCTGCTGGACCCATCAGACTTCAGACTTCAGAGCAGTTTGGGTATCACCTTCATTGCCTAGGTTCTCACTCTGTTAAGTGCTAGGGGATTTGCTTACAATAATTGCCCAGCAGAACAAGTTTGTGAATTACAATTAGAATTCCCAGTTTACAGATGAGGACATAGAGCCCCAGAGAGAGAAAATGGCTTGGCCCAAGGTCAGAGTGAGTCAAGGGCAAAGCAGAAGGCAGGGCTAGACCTCCTTTGTTCTCTGCTCTTACCCCAGCATCCTGCACAGGGTGTGACAAAGAGGCAAAGTGGGGGGCTCAGGAAATGGTTATGGAAAAAGCAATCTGTACAATGAATGAATGAATAAGCCAGTTCCCCAAATGTTAGACCCTTGGGCTCCCCAAGAATCTGTCCCCACCTCTTCCAGAGAGGAATGTCAGGGACAGGAAATGTTTCCAGAACATCCCAGTCTACCCCGTTGGCTGACAGAACACTCCCCAGCTGTGATAGCTTCAGGAATTCAGAGTTCCAGATGTGGGACTGGGTAGAGCAACAGCAAGCCTCCCTCCCCATCCCCCAACCAGGCGCCAGGCCTGGGGTAACCACCTGTCAGACTGTCTGCCTTTGTCTTGTCACTGAGCTGAGTCCAGGGCTGGTGGGAGGAGCACCCAGGACCACTCCAGGCCAAGCTGCCCCTCATTGGGAAAGTGGGCTGATGGCTTGGCTCTTCCAGTCCCTTGCCTGACACCTCAGAAACCAAGATTTTGCCTGGCACAGGCTCTTGGTCATAGATTGTTCCTCTAACCTCTTGTCCATGTCTGTAGCTTTTCTTACAGCTGGGCAATGGTGCTGGGAACAGATTCTGGGCAGCAAATGTGCCCCCCAGTGAGGCCCTGCAGCCCAGCAGCAGCCCTGGTGCCCGACGGCACCACTTGCAAGCCAAGTATCGTGAGGGCAAGTACCGCCGCTACCACCCGCTCTTTGGCAACCAGGAGGAGCTGGACAAGGTCAGGGCACTGTGCCTCTGGGGCCCCTGAAACAGCCCCCTTTGTCCCTCACAGTCAGGGATCCTTGAAACCACTGGTTGGGACCTCTTTTCTTGCCTGCCAACCCTGTTTTTTACCCCATCTGAACACATCCCTTCCACCAGCTCAGAGTGTTGGCATGTGGGGAAACTGAGGCTCAAAGAATAGAGGGACAGAGTAGGAAAGAGCCAGGCCTAACCTCTGGGCCAAGACCACACCCCCAGCATCTGTCTGCCTCTTCCATACTCCCCTTCTCCCCGCCTCCCCATCATTCCTGATTCTTCTGTCTCCTGCACCCTGTCTTGCTGCTTCTGAGTCCTGCCAAAAGGAGTGAACTCAATGGAGATGCTATTTCCTGTCAGGCTCATGAAAACCAGCTGGGCTGCTCTGACCCACCCCACCCTACCCCCCTCACCTCACGAGGAGGGCCCCAGGCCTTGACAGGCGAGGAGCCAAGCCTTGGGCCCTGATCTAACTGGGCCTGTTCTGGAGGCAGGGGGATGCCATTTATGACCCCTGGCCAAGCCTTCAGCCCCACCCCCAAACAACTCCACCCAAGAAGGCTCCCTCCAGCTAGAACCCCAGTGGGGAGCAGGCCTCCACCTCCCAAGAACCCAAGCCTCCAGCCCCTGGCCCAGTACAGCCCAGTCTAGCCCGCCAGCCAGGAGGGCGGTGGCTCCCATTGGCTGAAAGGACTGGGCAAGCAGCAAGGAATTCAAATGTGGGAGGAATTAGCTACAAAGCCCCCACCCCCCACCCCTCCACAAGGCAGAAGGAGTTTGAGATCTTCTGGAGAGCTGGCTGGGCAGCGCTCTTGGGGTCAGCAGCAGAGATGAGGCCTGGGCAGCTGGGACCCCAGCCTCTGCTAGACAGCTCCTGACCACCCTCCATCCCCTGGACCTTTCTCTTCCTCCTCATCCCTGTTTGTCTTCCTCCCTGTTCTCTCTCTGCTTGAGGATAGGCCCCCACAGACCTGGGTGGCCCCTTCCTCTTCCCCAGCCTCTCCTCCCCCTCTCCCCCATTGTCTGCTGCCCCTTCACTCTCTTCCCCTCCCCTCAGGCCCTCTGTGCCACAGTCACCACCGCAGACCTGGCTGAGACCCAGGCGCTCCTGGGCTGTGGGGCTGGGGTCAGCTGCTTCTCAGGAGACCCTGAGGCCCCCACACCCCTGGATCTTGCTGAGCAGGCAGGGCAGACACTGCAGATGGAATTCCTTCGGAATAACCGGAGCACAGGTGAGTGGCCAGTGGGACTGCCCATGACAGGGAATGGGGCCCCCTGAGTCAGCGGCTGGTTTACATGCTGTTCTAAAGCTGGAGTTGCAGCTCTGTGAGGGTCCCTGATACCATGGTAGCAGTGACTACTGTGGGTGTGTTAGAGATATTGTCACATTTGGTGTCCCTTTCTGACTTGCAGTGTGGATAACCCTGGGTGGTGTCCCTGTGCCAGCATCTCTGAGCTCCTGGGAATGCTTTCTTGCACCTGGGGATATGAGGGCGGAGGTGTTTGTACCTGTGCAGAATGTGTCTGTGTTGCTGTGTGGGGTGGGGTGGTGATTCCCTGTGTGTGGGGTGACCCATCTCAGCAGCCCTATCCACTGCTCTACCTGGGGTGGAACTCAATTGCAGACTGGGGCCCTGTTGGCTCCCATTTTCAGGGTGGGTGAGGAGAGTGAGTGGTGCTGGTTTCAGCCAGGCCTGGCCTCTGGGGCCATATCCCAGGACTAAGGGTGGAGCTCCATGGCTGTGGCTCTGGGCTTGGGGCCACGGGTGGGTAGGGCGCGCGGGGTTGGAGTGAGCCCAGGTGTCCGGGGAGACACAGGAGACCACCCAGCTGGCTTGGGCTTGGGAGGGCAGGACCGCCTCATTGCTGACTGCTGGGAGCCAGGATGCTTCTGTGAGCTTCTGATCATCTGGGAGGCCCCCTCAGTCCAGGACTTAGTATCTTCATCCTAGTGTGCGTGGCCCTTTGCCTCCAACAGGAAGAATTGGGTGGACTGGGGAATCAGGGAGGATTTTTGGAAGGGCAAGTACTAGGGTTGAGTCTTGGGATGGGGTGGAATATCCACAGATGGAAATGGTGTTAGGCAAACCCTTGGAGGTAGCTGTGAGTGGTTGAGGGTACTGGTCAGGGAGCTGGGGCTGGGGACTAGAAGCCTGGGTGGCCAGCCTAGGTAAGGCAGGCATGACCAGCTGCTCCGTCCTCCCGCTCCACAGAGGTACCTCGCCTGGACTCATTGAGGCCCCTGGAGAAGCAGTACTCAGTTGTCCTGCCCACTGTGAGCCACAGCGGCTTCCTCTACAAGACCGCTTCTGCTGGCAAGCTACTGCAAGATCGTCGTGCCCGGGAAGGTGGGTGCTGGGCCAGACCCCACCCTGGACCATGACATCTGGCATGGCTACAGGGCTAGCCAAGGCGGGTGGACCCTCCAAAGTGGCAGAGTCCCCTTGGAGGGCTTTGTGGAAATAGTCCTGGTATATATACATGGTGGTGGCGGTGGTGGTTATGTGTCACTGAGTCAGTTCTGACTCATAGCGACTTTGCATAAGAGTTCCAAGGCTGTACATCTTTATGGAAGCAGAAAGCCTTATCTTTCTCCCGTGGAGGAACTGGGAGATACTAACTGCTGGCCTTGCAGTTAGCAGCCAGCTCGTAATCCACTATCCTACCAGGGCTCCTCTAGTATACAGTAGGTGCTCAATAAATGGACTAACTCAGGGTGGGGCAGGGCCCCTGACACGTCAGGACAGGTCATTACAGTGTTTCCTGTAGATTAATGAAGGCTTTATGGAACCTTTATTGGATGTGGAAAATCCCGGTGTGGCACTGTAGGATGAGCACTGGACTGCTGACTATAAGGTTGGCAGTTCAAATCCACCAGCCATTCCTTGGAAACTCTATACAGAGTCACTATGAGTCAGAACCAGCCTGATAACACTTCAGCAACAACTGGATTTGAACCCTGTGCTTGGCATCTGTTATCAGGGACCTGGGGATGATAAGAAGTTTGAGGACTATGCTTATAACTCATGCCTCCCCTGATCTCGGCCCTCTAGTGCTCCTTAACTCTGGGTAGAACCCGAAGTTCTAATTCTTACCACATACCACGTGACCACACAGCTGCCTCCTTGCCCCATTGTCTCCCCTCGTTCGCTCTGCTCCAGCTTCCCAGCCTCCTTGCTCCTTTGCAGACATGCTGTAACCACTTCCACCAGGACGTGTACACTTGCTCTTCCCTCTGCCCCAAATGCTTTTCCCCAAATAACAGTATGGTTAGTCCCTCACTTCAGTCAGGTCTCACTTCCTGACCACCTTATCCAAAGCAGCACCTAGTACCCTCTCTCCTTACCCTACTTCTCCTTCACACTACTAATCTGACATTGGTTTGTCTGTGCATACCCGTTGATCCTCTGCACCCCACTAGAATATGAGCTCCTCTTGGTCTTCCTGTAGCCCAGAACCTGGAACAGTCCACAGTGGGCACATGGCAGATGTCTGTAGTGTTGGCCTTCCTGGAGGGAGCCCAGCCTTGGAGGAAGGCCCACAGAGGGCAGCGTCATACCCTCATAGGCAGGATGAGAGGTGGTGTGTCCACCATGGGAGCATTGTCAAGGGCATTGTTCACTGTCCCTGGGGTGCTGCCCCTGGTTTACCTCCTGCCTCATAATGTCATTAATGTAACCATCTGAGTCATGATTTTTGCCTTGGGTGCCAGGAAGCTCTGAGCCGGTGTGAAGCTCAGTGCATGGCCTGGATGTTCTATTCTTTTTCTGGTCCAGATTGCCATTTCTGTTTCTGTTATGAGATCTTATCAGTCTCTTCAGAGCCACTATGGTAGGAGGCAGGGTACAGAGCTGTGAGTACTGCTGCCCAAAGTGGGAGAGGCCCAGAGAGGGCCATGGAAGGCTTCCTGGGGCATTGGATTGGCCATGAAGAATAAGAAAAACACAGACAAGGGTGCTGGTGGAGGGAACAGAGTCAACAACAGCTGGGAGAGTGGGTGTGCCCTGGAGTGGTCAGAGGTGACTGAAGAGGGAATGGAGCAGACCTGTGCAGGGTCTCAAGTGCCAGGCTTTGTCTTGAGGGCAAAGGGAAGTCACAGGAGCATTTTGCATGGAGAAAAAATTTCAGTCTCAATTTTAACTTGAAGACTTGAATCTTGGGAGATGGTGGCGGCTGGGAGACTAGTGAGGAGGCCACTGCAGAGTCCTGGAGACAGGATGATGTGTGGGTTGGGTTATGGTCGTGGGCTGCAGAGAAGAAGATGGATTTGGGGGGCATTTGCTCATTAGAATGAAGAGGGCGTAGGGTCTCAGGTGGGATGTGAGGGACCAGGAAGGATGCAGAGGTGGTTTTCTGGTGAGGGTAGAGGGTAGGCTTCAACATGGCTTCCCTCCTCAACTTATCCTCAGAGTTCAGCCGACGCTGGTGTGTCCTTAGCGACGGAATCCTGAGCTACTACGAGAATGAGCGAACAGTGGCACCCAACGGGGAGATTCGGGCCAGTGAGATTGTGTGCCTGGCAGTGCCCCCTCCTGATACACACGGGTGAGCATCTCTGGGCAGAATCCCAAGCTGAAAGGCCCATGCCCACATTTAGGAGGCAGGGATACAGACCCAGAGAGGGTAGGCCATCCCTAGGATCATAGCAAGCTAGGTCTGTACAAGAGCTGAAGCAGGCCCCAGCTCAGAGCTTTCCCACTACCTCTTAGATAGCCATGGGAAGTGCAGGCAAGAGGGCAGTGTGATAGGGGTGGACAGTATGGCCTTGAGTTCTAGCCTTGTATCTACAGCTTTGAGCACACCTTTGAGGTTTACACGGAGGGAGAGCGGCTGTACCTATTTGGACTGGAAAGTGCGGAGCTGGCTCGTGAATGGGTCAAGTGCATTGCTAAGGTGGGTCTGCGTTAACAGGTGGGGCTTGGGGAAAACCTGAAGGGTCTAGGGTGGTAAAGCCTCGTGACCGGTACTCCCCCATCTGATAGAGCAGGGACTGGGTGGAGGGCAGCATACACACAGTGGGCTTCTCAGGCCAAGGATCTGACCTCATCTGGAGTCCTGGAGCAGGAGACTTAGCTCTGGGAAGAAGGTCTGTAGGCTTTAAACTCACATAATAAACGTTTACTAATGAGTGAGGGTCACAGCCATCTTGGGATGAATAACGCTGCCTTCAGAGAGAGTGAGCCCTTTGCCCCTGAAGGATTTTATAAGCAAGGGCTGGAGGGAAGAGGCAGAGAGGCTGCAGAGGAAAGCTCTGCCCTAGGGATGAGAGTCAGAAACCCTGACTCTTGTTCCTTGTCCATATTGTTCCACCTCTGAGAGGACCAGTTTTCAGAACCCTGGGGACTCTGATGAAGGAGTCCTGGCCTCTGTCCCTCAGTAGCTCCTGAGCTGATGGATAGACAGATGAGGGCTAGACAGCAATAACAGTGTACGCTATGCTACAGCAGAGGTCAAGGATATTTGGGGGCTGTGGTGGCCCAGAAATCGGGCACTCTTGATGGCTTCTGGAAAGGTTTCCAGAGGAGGACACATCTAAGGGATGTGTAGAGGAAGGATAGAGCTCTCACCAGATAGCAGTGGGGCAGGGTCCACTGTGCTGGGTTCTACCCTGAGGCAAGAGAAGAGGGGACTGCCAGGTGGGAAAGAGAGCACTCAGCCAGAGGCTCAGGAGCTGGGGTGTGGTGGCTGAAGCATTCTTCTCTGTCCTCCTCCCCTCTCCCATCCTCCTCCCCAGGCATTTGCACCACCTCTGGCTGAGGAGCTTCTGTCCAGGGATTTTGACCGACTTGGACGCCTACCCTACAAAGCTGGCTTGAGCCTACAACGGACCCAGGAGGGCTGGTTCTCTCTCATTGGCTCCCAGCTTCACGCCATCTTTCCAGAGGGACCCTGTGAGGAGCCGCTGCAGCTACGAAAACTGCAGGAGCTTTGTACGTGGAGCCAGACCCAGACCCCTAGCCCCTCTCTGGAAGTCTGTACTCTATCCCAGCCTAGCCAGAAGGAGCCAGCCTGCCCTTTCCTGCTCTCCTCTGTCCCTTGGGTGCTTCTCAATGACCACATATGTTGGTGGGTGGGTCCCAGGAGTCTGTGTGCCCAGAACCTCATGAGGGGAGCAGGTTGGGGACTGTGAACAAGGTCTGGGCCTTACCCTGGTCCGGCTCCTCCACAGCCATCCAAGGGGACAGCGAGAACCAGGTGCTGGTGCTGGTGGAGCGAAGGAGGTGAGCCACGGCCTCGTCAAGGGGCTCTAGAAGCTGGAGGAGGGTGGAGCTGAGGCAGCCCTGTGGTGACTTACTACCCTGGCCCAGGACGCTGTACATCCAGGGGGAGCGGCGGCTGGACTTCATGGGCTGGCTGGGGGCCATCCAGAAAGCAGCAGCAAGTTTGGGAGACACTCTGTCAGAGCAGCAACTTGGGGACTCAGACATCCCTGTGATAATCTACCGCTGTGTGGACTACATCACTCAGTGTGGTGAGTCCTTCCCCAGGTGTGATGGCCCTGCCCCCGGGACGTAGATTCCACCTCTCTCAGGGAGACCTTTACCATCTGCTCCAGAATCTAAGTCTCCAGGTTCCCAGGATCCCTCTGAAAGCAGTGTCCTCACCCCAAGCTGGGCAATGCCTTCTGCCCACATTTTTGGCCCTGCTCCCAAGCTTAGCCCTGTACATTCCCAGGCCTGACCTCCGAGGGCATCTACCGCAAGTGTGGACAGACTTCAAAGACCCAGCGACTCCTGGAGAGCCTGCGGCAGGATGCACGCTCTGTGCGCCTCAAGGAGGGCGAACAGCATGTGGACGATGTTTCGTCGGCACTCAAGCGCTTCCTGCGGGACCTGCCAGATGGGCTCTTTACTCGTGTTCAGCGCCTAGCCTGGCTGGAGGCCTCAGGTGGACCCTGCAGCCCATGCCCTCCTGGTTTATAGTCCCCTCAGACATCAGGATTCCCTCCCCTTCTGGGTCATGCATTTGAGCCAGGCAATCCCCAGCAGATGGATGCCAGCACCGTCCCCCTTCGCTGCTTCTCATTCCGTTGTCTCTCCTGCACAGAACTAGGGCCCCCAGTAGAGAGTCCCTACCCTTGCTGTGTCTGACCTGCTGTGACTTGGAGAGCGGCAGGGGAACTTTCACTGAACATGAGAGGCAGAGCAGCCAGAGCGTGGGACAGGGCTGGTGGTTACAGTGTGGTTCCTGACTGGTCTTTCTCCCCTGACCCAGAGATGGAGGATGAGGAGGATAAAGTCTCTAGGTACCAAGAGCTTCTGGCACAGCTGCCCCCAGTCAACCGTGCGACTGTGAAGGCCCTTATCAGCCACCTGTACTGGTGAGAAGCGGTCCCATTATGAGGCTCTGGGGGACTATGTGGAGAAGAGTCCTCTTTCAGCCTGGCATGCTGCTCTTCCCTCCCCTGAGAACTAGGTAGACCTTGGATCTGAGCACTGACTTACTGGCTGGGTCTACTCTGATCTTGGATTCATTGTCTTGAAACTTCCTTCCTACAGGGCGGGAAAGTAGAGGAGGTTTCCGCTTGGGGCTAAGGTACCTGGCATGCTTCCCAACTTCCCTGCCCTACTCCTTGCCGGGACTGAAGACAAAACCAGAAAGACTGCCCTTTTGCCTCAGTTAGTGGTCCACTCTGACTAGGACCTTCCTTGGCCTCACTCCAGTGGCCAGTCTTGGACCTGTCAGAAATTGGAAAGGTCTAGGGGCAATGTTCTGGACCAGACTCCTCAAAGCCTACCCCCTACCTTGTCCAGCGTCCAGTGCTTCTCAGACACGAACCAGATGAACACGCACAACCTGGCTATTGTATTTGGGCCCACGCTTTTCCAGACAGATGGACAGGACTACAAGGCTGGCCGTGTGGTAGAAGACCTCATCAGCCACTATGTGGTGGTGTTTAATGTGCGTCCCCAGCCAGTGGGCAGGGAGGGCAGGACTGAGGTTCCAGGGTGACAGTGACCATCCAACCCTGTCCCTTTTTCCTCCTCAGGTGGACGAGGAGGAGCTGAGGAAACAGCGGGAGGAGATCACTGCCATTGTGAAAATGCGTGTAGCTGGCACTGCCAGTGGGACCCAGGTGAAGGCCTAGGCCTAGGGTAGTGGGGTGCCCATGTGCTGCTCCCAAGGCCTCCAGCTGATCCCTGTCTCCCCACAGCATGCTGGTGACTTCATCTGCACCGTGTACCTGGAGGAAAAGGCAGCGGAGACAGAACAACATATTAAGGTGGGGGACAGGAACCAAGGCTGGGGAAGGCACAGATAGATGGAGGGCATCTGTCTCAAGGAGAATCTGGGGTTTGGAACTTTTATTTTCCCTTTCTCCCCACCCAACTGATCAGGACCACTCAGAGACACCGTAGGACTCCAGAGGACCCTGAGGGGCTGGGCTTAAGCACTGAATCACGTGGCAGGGTTATGGCAGATCTTCCCCTTCCTTGGTCTCTGCAGGTTCCAGCATCCATGACAGCTGAGGAGCTCACCCTGGAGATCCTGGACCGTAGGAATGTGGGCATTAGGGAGAAGGACTATTGGACCTGCTTTGAGGTCAACGAGAGAGAGGAGGCAGGTGAGTAACCCACTGGAGTTGGTGCAGGACATGGTGGTGGGGAAGAGGAGGGTTTAATGATGACTTCCACTCTGACCAAAGCTGTGATGTCAGTGATGGTGGTGACAGTAATGTGGCTGATAAGAGGATAATAAAGGGGGTAGATGGCGTTTGCTGTGAAGATGTGACAATGAGAATGGCATTGCTTCAAAGGAAGATGGTACTGAGTTTGATAATGGAGTTGTGACACCAGGGTCATGGGTGGTGGTGTTGGATGGTGGTAGATAGTGGGTGAGGGTGATGGTGGTGTGAGCTGAATATAGTGGTGAAGGTTGGGGAGTGATTGTGATCATGCATTTTATGATGAAGCATGGTCTTGATGATAGTGGAAAATGAGGGTGTATCTGTTCAATTTTTTTGAACCATTATGTGTTGAGTGCCAGGCTCTGGGCTGGGGATACAAGCATACAATCAATCCCTGTTCTCATGAAGGTTCCAGTCCGACCTGAGATAGGGATGTTAATCTGGATCACACCAGTAAACATACAACTACAGCTGCTGTGAAGGAAAGGTTCATAGTGCCCCTGGAGCTTATAACAGGGCCTCCGATTTAAGATCCCCAGAGCTAGAATTTAAGGAAGACTTGGGGCTGCTGAGTGAAGAAGAGGGATTAGTGCTCCTAGGCAGTAGGAAAATATGGGCACATCTTTCAGGGCGCTTGAATTAAAGAGCAGAGATGGGGTGGAACTGGAGATAGAGGTAGAAAGGGCTGTGCAGGGCCTTAACAACACTGCAAGGCTATTGGAGGGTCACAACAGGGGAGAGATTGGGATTTTGCTGCAGGGTGGAGGGAAGTAGGGAAGATGGGGGATGAGAGCACACTGGTCCAAGGTGAAGATAGTAAGTAACTTGGACCATGTTCACAGCATGGAGGTGGGCAGAAACAGAGATTTGAGATGTAGGAGGTGAGATGAAGGAGAGGTTTGTTTCTGGCTTCAGCTGCCTGGTGGGTGAGGGTGCCGTTTGCCCTGACTGGGGACACAGGAAGATCACAGGCTTGGCTTTGAACATGTTGAGTTTGAGCAGTTTGGGTCAAGGCATGGGAAAGGTGGCCATGATGATGCTGGTGTGTGGTATTGCTGGGGAGTAGTGAGGGTGGATGTGACAGTGGATGTTGTGGGGGTGTGTAGTGTGACGGGCCATCATCACATCGTCTCTGTGACTGTGTGTGTGATCTCTCCCCAGAGCGCCCCCTGCATTTTGCAGAAAAGGTGCTGCCTATTCTGCACGGACTGGGCACAGACAGCTACCTGGTGGTGAAGAAGTACCAATCCATGGAAGCCATGATGCTGTACCTGGGTAGGTGGAGTCTGCAGGGCCAGTACAGAACCTGGTGGTACCAGAAGTACTCAGCAGACAGGCGTCTACAGGGGCTGGGGACAATTCTGAAGCCCTGCCCAAAGCATCTGGATGTGTGGATAGCAATTGGTGCAGCCCTGTCCACTCCAGTCTCTCCCCCCCACCCCACCCCCAGCCAGTCGTGTAGGTGACACCAAGCATGGCATGATGAAGTTCCGTGAGGACCGCAGCCTCCTGGGCCTGGGCCTGCCTTCTGGTGGCTTCCATGATCGCTACTTCATCCTCAACAGCAGCTGCCTACGGCTCTTCAAGGAGGTCCGGGTATGTGGCCTATCCTGGGTACCCACACCCCTTTGTGCGCTCAGACACCCATGCACACACATCCCCATTGGCCTGCAGGTGAAATATCCTGGAGAAACCTATCCTCCTAAGTCTTCTGTTGTGGCCCTGGATGGCCCTGTGTGGCCACTGTGCTGTGCCCTGTGGACCCACTAGGTCTTGGCACCAGATGCCATCACAGCACACAAATACCAGGGAGTTTCAGAAAGTTTGTGGACAAATGCAATTACAAGAAAATGAAAATTTTCCACAAACTTTTTGATATCCCCTGATACATTGTCTCCTGGGACTATGCCACTGTACCCACAAGAACGTGGTTCATGGCGACAACCCCTGAGCTGTGGCTTGGCATGCTTTGTCACTTTCCAGGATATACCCCACCTAGTCCCCACTCCATGTCCACTATGAATGCATGCCACATCCATCCTGAAACACACAGTACACTCCCCGTCTTTGGCACATATCCACCGTGCCCCACCATTCACCACTGCACACACTGTCCTGGCTCTGGACCTGGGACTCCTTCTTCCGTAACCCTCATCCTCTATCAAACAGAGCCAGAGGCCATGGAGCGGGGCCCCTGAGACTGTGAGTAGCTGTGGGTCGACTTCCAAGTGAGCCAGGTGGGATCCCGGGGACATGACCAGGGCTCCCAGCTGCTTCCAGGCATGGTTTCCTGCCCTCTGTGAGTCACCAGGGCCTCCCACTCTGGGGTCTGGGGCCTAGGCTCCTGCTTGTCATCCCTACCCTTGTCCCAGTACCCTGCCCCTAAGATATGGTTCCCACCAATGAAATGCTTCATGGGACTCGGCTGTGGAACCAGCAGTGGAGGCCACCTAGGTCTAAGTTAGAGATCTCATCCTTAACTCCTTTCAACCTGGAGCCACTGTCTCTCTAACCTCGGAGAGTGCTACAGGACTATCAGAATATCTCCAGTAGTGTCCTGACCCTACAATGCCAGGGTGAGATCGCAGAGGCCTGTGGGATACTCCTCACCTGTGGTAGGAGTTCCGTCTACAGCCTCTCTGACTGGCTGCCCAGCCCTTGTTTGTACATCCCTGGGGAAGACGAACTTATCCATCCGTCTTTCAGGACTGCCCTGTCCTTAGAGGGAGACTTATGCCTGGGAGATGGCCCCAGCTGGTCTCAGGGGCCTAAGGGCAAAGAGGCCCCTGCAGAGAGGGCAGCAGAGCCCAGGACTCCAAGTCCAGTGGTCTAGTCTGAGCTCCTGCAGCTGCCCTGCCCGTGTGTACAGTCCCTCCCTTCCCCTCCTGTCTCCTGAGGACTTCTGAACAGGCCTGGCTGCAGTGACGGAGCAAGGCAGATAAGACAAGGACCCTCGCCTCACTTTCTTTGCATCTTAAAACCCCAAACCCACTGCCATTGAGTCAATTCTGAGTCCTAGTGACTGTATATAGGGTCCCAGAGACTGTAAATCTTTATAGGAGCAACAGCTTCATCTTTCTCCTGAGGAGCAGCTGGTGGGTTTGAACTGCTGACCTCGTGGTTAATCTTTGCATATGATACCTCTCTTAATGTAACTTGCCTTCTGTTTACCCTTATGAGGAATACTTCCCTATCTCCCCTCCCTCTCAGATCACATCTGGACTCCTGGGCCTTGGAGCCTGCCTGCTTCTCTAGTCAGCCCCCTCTTAGTTCTGGGATGTTCTCCCCAGTCCCTCTCTCTGGGGTGTTTGGCCCCAGAAAGCAGAGTAAGACCAGCAGTGTGTGCAGAGGGGAGGGAAGGTGGCAGATGTGCTCATCTCAGTGTGGAGGGGAGAAGGCAAGAACTAGAGAAAGGAACCAATCCTTTGCTGTCTAGCCAGGCATGGTGCCAATCCTGTGCTGTCATGGTGCCAGGCCTTTCCTGTACTGGCTCATGGAATCCTCACTGTGGTTCCATGCGGGAGGGTATTCTCCCCATTTCACAGGTGAGAAAACAGGCTTTGAGTGACTTTGCCAAGGCCATCTCTAAGGGATAAGCCAGGATTTAAACCCAGGTTTGTTAGCACTGGAGCCCAGGCTTTGTAGCCTTTTAATGAAGTCTCAGGACTCAAGCATGGCGGGGCTGCTTGTTGTTGTTGTTATTATGTGTTGTCAAATCGATTCCAACCCATAATGACCCTCTATAAAGTTTCCGAGGAGCAGCTGATGAGCTTGAACTGCCATTTGTAGTTCAAGCCAACTTTGCAGTCCAGCGCATTAACCTGCAGCGCCACACTGGGAGTCCAGGTGGGGCTGGTGGTGCCAGGTAAATGGTGTTCTCCACAACCCAGAGATGCACAGTGCCTCTGGCCCAACAGGAGCCCCTGGAAAGTGTGTTTTGCCTACTAGTGGTGGTGGTGGTTATGTGCCATGGAGTCGGTTCCGACTCATAGCGACCCTTACAGGGTTTCCGAGGCTGTAAATCTTTACGGGAGCAGAAAGCCTCACTTTTCTCACGCGGAGCGGATAGTGGTTTCGAACTGCTGACCTTAAGGTTCATAGCCCAATTCTTAATCATTACGCTACCAGAGCTCCTTAGGTAACAGTAATTCTGATACTTCTTGGTTTATGGGCAACAGGACAGCAGGATATTTAAAGTTGGGACAATCCCAGACAATTCAGAACATGTCACCATCCAAGCCTCCTGGTGGTGGGGGAGGTGTCTTCTCATGTAAAGACCCTGAGACACCTGAGGAAGGTATATTCTAGGCAGATGGTCCTTGAGCTGAAGGTGAACTTCTTTCTCTGCTAGTGACCTCAGAGATGCTGGAGACATATGCTATTTGATTAGAAATGAAGCTCTTGGGGATCAAAGGAGATTGTTTACTCCCATCATGTGCATGCCCTTGGAGCCTGAGGAAGTAGAAGGCTGGGCCTTGTTTATTCAAATTCTTAGGAGCCACAGTCTGATTCAAATTCTTCAATTCCCTCAGCTCTGACTTTAGCCTGCATTCCTCACACCCACTGCCTCCGTTCTTCCACTCTGCGGTCACTTTATTCCTTGCTTCTCATTCCTGTCCTTCCACACCTACAGTCTGATTTCTTCCAAGTCCGCAGCCCACTTTTCATCCCTTAGCCTGATTCATCCCATACCTGCAGCCCGGTTTTCCCTAGTCTGTCTTGTCATGGCCTAAGCCTTGGGTTTTCCAGGCCTATTGCCTGATTTCTTTCCCCTTCCCACCATTTCTTTAGCCAGCAGTCCGAGTTTCTTATGGCTCTCTGCCTGCCTTTGCCTGGATTGCACACTGGTCTCTTCCTTGTTGAGGTCTCCCTAACCCTTGTTTCTCCCACATCAGCAACCTAACTTCCTTTCCCTGGGGGGCACAGATGGTTAAGCACTGGACTACTAACTGAAAGGTTGACAGTTCAAAAGTAAGGGCCTAGCAATTTGATTCAGAAAGGTCACAGCCTTGAAAACTCCCTGGGGGCAGTCGCCATGAGTTCAGAATTGCTTGGACAGCAGCAACTTCCAACAGAGTGAAGCAAGGTGAAAGAGTCCGTGATGGCGCCTCCAAACCCCAGCCTTCCCTGGGTAGCCCTTCTTTTATGACATCCCAGGGATGTCCACCAATTCCTGAAAGTCTTTTGACGTCCCTTGGGCATACTCCTGGTCCCCTATTTTAGCCCCTGCCCAGGAGCCATGCCTGGGGGTGGCTGGAAGCAATGGTGGGGAAAGGGTGGGGGTGGCTCAATCTTGAACCCAGTTTTGGTTGTAAGTGTGGCCTCCTCTGCTGTTCACCCTAGCACCCCTGCTGGCTCCAGGGTGTAAGGGAGGACTTGGAGCACATGACTCCTAGAGCAGGAAGAAGGCTCATTCACTTGACCTCCAACCAACCTCTTCCTGTAGGGTCACTGCTCCCATCACCCTGCCTCTATGCCACATGTTCCTCCCAAGCCCAGACCCATATGCAGAGGCGGGGCCAGAGGCCAGCACATCCGTGATCTGGTGCCCCTCCCCGGTATATTGGTCTCTTGCTTCCTAACCTAGACGTTGGGAATTTCTTCCATTGGTCTACTGACCGGCCACTCTACTTCAACATGTAAGGTATTAGTCACCTTCTTGTGGAACCAAAACGTAACTGCTGACCCCACCACAACCGTCAGTGTTCACACAGTCAACCCTGGAGCTCCTGTGGGGTGGGCGAGTAAAGAATGAATAACTGGAGAGCAATGTAAATTCAAGCAGCTAAGCAAGGCACTCAAATCACACATGCTTGTTCCAGCTGGGTGCCCAAGGATTATATGCAACAGTTTTCGCTCCACAGTGATCTGATTCAGGCCGATTCGATATGTCGTTGATGTAGGAGGGGTCAGGACTCACAGCTCTGGAGTGGCTGCTGGGAACTGAGGGTTGGCTGTCTGGTGCTGCTACTGGAAGGGGTGGCACCCCAGGGAGGGAGGCCTGAGTGTCTGGGGCTGGAAGCTAGATGGTGAGCAGGAAGGGCTTTGCCAGGAAGACTTCCAGGAGGAGGTGCCTTGGTTTGGGATGCAGAGCTGGGGCTAGGAGTGGGAGGAGGGAAATCTGAAATCACACTCCCTCTGACCTCCCCTACCCTAGAGTCACCGGCCTGAGAAGGAGTGGCCCATCAAGAGCCTCAAAGTCTACCTAGGAGTGAAGAAGAAACTCCGGCCACCCACCTGGTGAGCTGGACTTGGGACGAGGGGAGACTAAGAGCCAGTATCCTCTAGTGCAGTGATTCTAGGTGTGGTCCCCAGACCAGCAGCATCAGTATCACCGGGAGACATATTAGAAACATTTCCCAGGTACCACCCCAGACCTACTGACTCTGTGAGTCTGGAAGTGGGACCTGGCAATCCCTGATGCTCGCTGAAGTTTGAGAGCCACTGATTGAAATCCTGTCACTTGACTAGCCCCTAGCTCTGGGACCTTGCCGTGCTTCAGTTCCCGCATCCGTAAGATAGGGAAAATAATGGTACACCTGTTTGAAAGGATGGCTGTAGGTTTTTAGAAAGTGAAAAGTGGAACCCAGCCACGTTTGTGTTAATTGCAGTCTGCAGACTTGGTTTTCGATACTTTCCCTCTTGTCGGTTGGCTGTGAGTGACTTTCTGGAACTAGAGTAGGCCTAAGGTCAGGTGAAGCTTGGAGTTGGAATGGGTCTTGGATGGGCAGTAAGGGCCTGGGGAACTAATGGGGACTGTAAGAGAAAGAGGCAGTGGTCCGGATGTGCCGTACTGGTGAGAAGGCCCTGCACTCTGCCTCCGGCTCCAGCCCAGCTACTGGGTTCTGTCTAGGGAACTTGGGCTTTGAGGCCTCAGCAAGCTGTCAGGTGACCTGTCACTCCCATCCTTTACAGCTGGGGCTTTACAGTGGTGCATGAAACAGAGAAACACGAGAAGCAACAGTGGTGAGCGAGGTTCTCACCCCGAGACTGGGCTGAGGAGAGCGGGTCACAAGTTCCCCTTGACTGGGTCCCATCACTGCCCAGACCAGTGCCTGTCCCAAGACCCTGGGCTGGAGGGATGGGCAGGAGTCCCTCCTCTGTTGGGTCCCTGGCAGCATCCAGACCTGTGCTCCACCCCACAGGTACCTGTGCTGTGACACGCAGATGGAGCTCCGGGAGTGGTTTGCCACCTTCCTGTTTGTTCAGGTACCAGGTGTGGGTTGCGGGGTGGGGTCCTGGGTAGGCTTCCATTATGGAACAATGGGTGTGTTTGGGTTTTCGCTAGTCACACCATCCACTCCTCACAGAGATTTTTTAGTTGACTTTTACATCATTTGTTTATTATCCACTCAATAAATCCTTCGTGGTGCCTCCTCTGATCTAGCCTTGAGCCAGACAGACAAAAGACTGAGAGGCTGCAGACCCAGGCCCTGCCTTCAGGGTGCCCCCCACATGGAGAGGAAAACAGACCTAAGAGTGTGGTCTAATGTAATCAGTGCTCTGGGCATGGGGAAGCCCAGGGACTCTGACTTGGTGGAGGGTAGGAGTGGGGGGCTGAGTCTTTGGGGGTGAGGGAGACCTCATTAAGCAAAGAGGTAGGGAAAAGCTTTTAGGCAGAGAGGACAGTTTAAGCAAAGGCATGACACTTGGAAGAGAACTACAGATTGTTCTGTGGAGCTTAAAGCAAGCAGCAAGGAGTGCAGGGAGTCCGGAGTAAAATCTTGAAGAGCTTTCAAGGCCATGCCAAGGAGGCTGAACTTGACCAATGGGCAGATGGGGTCCCCACAGAGTTGGATTCAGGCTTGAGTCTGACTAGGCTCATTCTAGATATGGTGTCAGGGGACAATGGACTGAAGGACAGAGCGCCTGGCTTAGGTTTTTAAAAGGCCTAAGGTTTTTCAATGAGATTCCAAAATTGTTTAGGGAAAGGGGAGAGAAAATGTACCCGACCTTGGGCTGAGTTCTTTACTGTGACTAAGTTCTTTTATCCAAAGCTTCTGGGTGGTCTGGATCTAAAGGGGACATAGAGTGTTCTGCAGTTCTGGGTTTCTGATCAAAGGAAGCACAGCCCTGCTTGTCTCGAAATGTTTTCTCCCTGCTGCCTTTTGGAAAGGAGGCTGTTTGGTGGATGCTCAGATGGGAGCTGTTGAGTATCATAACTGGGCTATGTTTTGCCAGGAATGTAGTCATGTTCTCCTAACAGCTGCTTCTCATATTGTTGGAGATCAAAGTTGAGGGTGTCACCTCAGGTCAGAGCTTGAAGGCATTTCTGAGAAGGCTGGGTGGGTCTGGTACTGAGAGACTGGCCCAGCGCCCATCCTCTCCCCTGCGCCCCAGCATGACGGCCTAGTGTGGCCCTCGGAACCTTCACGTGTGTCTCGGGTGGTGCCTGAGGTCCGGCTGGGCAGCGTATCACTGATACCCCTGCGTGGCAGTGAGAATGAGATGCGTCGGAGCGTGGCCGCCTTTACCTCGGACCCCCTGTCTGTGAGTGAACCTCTATGCCTGTGGTTAGGAGGGTAGGATCTGGCATTTTGGCTGATTTGAGCACTCCACCACGGGGAATGGCAAGTGGCTCTGGAAACTTCAGAGGGCTGAGCCCCCTGAGCCTTCACAAACTGCTTATGGGATCTGGGTATTCTGTCTTCCCACAGCTCCTTCGGAATACCTGAGCACAGAAGTTAGCCCCTGGTGCTGGGACTCTGCTACTGTGAAGCCTGCTTTCCTGTCCAGACAGCCCTCAGACCCTGGGCTCCTGGTGTCCGCCAGTAGAGGGCATGACGAAGCCACTCCTCTCACATCCCAGCCCTGACTCAGCTTGGGATTCCCTGATGGCCAGGGGGCAGCAGGGTCTACCTGGGGAGGAACCGTACAGGCTCTGTCCAGGGGCTTGTCCTTCTGGCCTGCCTACCTAGCCCCAGGATCACCCTCCCTGAGTTTGTGGAGCTGGAGAGATGACTGTAGATCAGGAACTCTGGAAAACCTGGAACCTCTCTGGAAGGGAGCCCCCTCTCCCTGCCATGAACTCCAGGACAGCAAACAGTGGGTGGTCCGAAATAGCAGTCAGCTGGGTTGGGAAACTCTTGGGTGAGCTCCTAAAGGGCAAAGAGTTGGACTTTGGAGCTTCAGCTCCTTCTCCCCCCACTTACACTTCACTGGGCTGACTGGGAGGGCCCAGGCTGCCCAATGTCCCTTCCCCACTTTTTGATAATATAAATATATCTGTATATTTTACCCCATGGTGCTGAGGCCTGTGATTGGTTGAGGGGATCAGGTATCTTGGGGTGGGTGGTCTGGAGACCCAGAAGTGAGTGCCTAGTGCCCCAAAGCCGGGAACCTAGGTTCCATTCTCACTGGGCCTGCGCTATTGACTCTCCCTGACCTTGGCAGAACCTTATCCTCCTCTGCAGCCAGGGTGGGGAATGCTAGTCTAGCCCCCTTCATTACCAACCATGATTCCCATCAGGACAGTACCAGCTGGATCCTAGCCCCAGTCCCTGCTTTGGTCTGAGTCTGAGCCAGGGCCTAGGTGTGTCAGTGTGGGTGGCTCAGGCAGACCCTCAGCCACCACTGCTGGAGACCTGAGGTCACAGAATTATAGAAGCTGTATTCAGTTAAATTAGGATGAAAGGCCTCCAGGTCCCCTGGGCCTTGTATACCCCTTCAGGGGTGCGTGCTGTCGTGTACCAGAAAGCTGCCCGTGCTGGGCACTGCCTGGCTGTCTCCAGGAGACCAGGCCTTGGCAAGCAGGGGTGATAATGAGCTACTCGGACTTGGCTTTGGGACTTCCTGGGAAGGTGCCAGACACTATGTTCCCACCTCTGCATAGAGCCTCATTACTGGCCTCTCTCCAGGGGCTCAGCAGGCAAACTGACTGACCACTTGTCCCTGACCTCAGCCAGTGGGGTTGGGCAAGAGGGCAGAGGATGGACCAGATGACCTCTGACTTATGAATTGGGCTCCATGGAGAGTCCTGTCAGAATGGAACCCTAGGTTCCTGTCTTTGGGCAGAGGGGGGGGTAATGCCAGGAGACTGGAACGAGTTGCCTGAGCTCCACTGGTCACCTTCACAGGCTGGGGAAAAGTCCCTTGAATGTGCCACCTCTTGTCCCTCCATGGCTGGGCTGCTCTTGGCCAGAGTGACAGATCAAACATCTTTCCATTTCACCTCCAGTCAGAACAGGACTGGAATTTCTCGCTGACTTGAACCTTGGACTGACCATCCGTAGGACCCGAAGAGTAGGTGGGGTGGGACTGTCCTCTAAGAGGCTAGGGATGCAACACTGTCCACTCCCCACTTCCAAGCTGCCAGTATCACTGCCTGGACTCAGGAATTGGCTGCAGTATCTGCACTGGGCCACTAGGGGGCAGCCATAGGCAGCTTTGCATTGCTGGTCCCAGAAGAGTCTGGAGGGTCTCAGTGCCGCCAGGGGTGAGATGGGACCTGTACTCCATTTGCCTCTAGTCTGGAGATATTCTGGACAACAGCACCGTGCTAGAACAGGCCTAGGACTGGAATTCTAGGAAGAGGGCATAGCTGTTTACCAAGCACCTACTATGTATCAGCACCTGTATGCTATGCACCATCTTCTCTTCATGAAGGAGCTCTGGTGGTGCAGTGGTTAAGTGCTCTTCTGCAGGAAAAAATGTAGCAGGCTGTTTCCATAAAGATTTAGAGCCTTGGAAACCTTACGGGGCAATTCTACTCTTTTCTTAGGGTCGCTTCAAATTGGAACCGATTTGATGATAACTGACCTGTTTATAAAGGAGGAAAGTTAGGCCCAGAGTAAGCAGGTGACTTCCCCAGCTCTCCTGAGTCAGGGTTGGGGTCCATTCCACCACCTCCTAGACTTGCATTCTAACTCCGACCCTGTTAAATACTCTGAGAGCTTTGTCCTCTTAACAAGAGGCCCCTGAGGAAGAGGATCCAAGCTGTCAGACATTAATGATAGCCTGGTGTGCTTTCTCTTGAGGCAGGGGATCACATTTCCCCAGGGGCCTTCAGGGCCTCCCCCTTACTGAATTACAGCAGCAATGGCCATGTTAGGGGCTAGGGCAGGGCACTTTGCTAGTCTTTGTCACAAGGATTCTTAGAATGGGGGGGCCTCCTGTGGGGAGTTGAATGGTGGTGGGGGGCACAATAAGGTATAAGGGAGGAAGAGCTGGTTCTGCTAAGGGTTGAAGAACAGCTCTTGGAAAGAAAGGGCTTTCTGGAGGAGGAGATGCCCCTGAGCTGCCCTCTTAAAGGCTGGAAGCCTGACAGATTGCACATGGTTGTTGTTAAGTGCCAACGAGTCAGTATCAATTCATATCAGCCCTGTGTAGGGTTTCCGAGAAGTGGCTGGTGAACTTGAACCACCGACCTTGCAGTCCATCGCATTAACCCACAGCACCACACCAGAACTCTGCACATGGTAGGTCTGGGTTAAATGTTAGGGGAGGAAGCTAAACCTTCAAGGACCAAACCAGGGGGCCATTGGGAGCCCTGGGAGAGAATTCAGTGATGGATCAAAACCTGAGTGGTAATACATTGTGAATGACAAGGAGGCTGATAGAGGGGTGCAGGGAGTAAGACCTTGGTGAGGTAGGAGAAGGAGGCTGATTGACGGTTGCGAGGGATGTCTCTGTCTCTCCCTTCCCCCATCCCCTAGCTCACCCTTCCTACCCTGAAAAGCATCAGCAAAGTTCAGTAGTCTTTGAGGGGTCTCAGGAGACCCTTGATCTCCACAGGAAATCGATGGGGTGGTGTGGGGGAAGGGGATTCCTGTATCTTGCATCCTGTTCCCCTTGCTCCTAAACCCAGGGATTGTAGGATAGGCATGTGGGTGGCATGGAGCTGAGGTCTTCCTGGCCCCATGCTCTGGTGTCCCCAAGTCCCCTGCCCCCAGCTTGCTGTCTCAGAAAAGCCTGGGTATGGAGTCCTGGGCAGCTGACTGACACATCTCCTGTATACATGCTTTGTAGAGCTCATCTGTTACTGTTAATTGCCATTACTGTGTGTGAGGTGATTGTACAGAGTACAACTGCTCCATAGCATTTTCAGAAGCACATGACCAGCCCTGTCTATAGAGGAACCTCTGGCTAGGATCAAGCCACAAACTCTCTGGATAGTAGTCAAGTGCTTAACCATTGGTGTCACCCAGGGACTCCATGTTCTCATCTGTACTTTGGAGGTATTCATGATACCTATCTCCTGGTGGTTTGGGAGGTTAAATGAACTAACAAATGTGAAGTACCCAATTGTATGCCTCATTAACCTTCTTCCCAGATATGTTTGGGGAGACATGGGAGACATAATGGCATCCAGAGTCCTTTCAGGTCCAATATATTTTTGTTTCTGAGCATTTATTGAATGCCTGCAGTGAGGGGGGGAGCAAATGGGCACGTGCTATTGGGGAGGGATGAAGCCCTCCTGGTGGGAAGCTATTGATCAGGATGGGCTCCTTGGAGTAGAGGAGCCTGACTGGCTGGCTGTGTATCATAAGTCAGTCTGACTCATAGCGACTCTATAGGGTTTCTGAGGCAGTAGTCTTTACAGGAGTAGAAAGCCTCACCTCTCTCTTGTGAAGTGCCGTTGAGTCTATTCCGACCCACAGTGATCCTGTATAGGGTTTCCGAGGAGAGTCTGGTGAGCTTGAACTGCCGACCTTGCAGTTCAGATAGCTTTGCAGTCTGACGCATTAACCCACAGCGCCACACCAGGATTCCGTACAATAAGTATTACTCACCCATAAAAAAATCTCTTGACTAGTGGACTCAAATTGCTGACCTTGAGTTTAGCAGCCCAATGTGTCACCCACTATGCCGCAAGAGTTCCTAGTGGAGTCTTGTTTGTTGTTAAGTGCCGTTAAGTTGGTTCCAACGCACAGCAACCCTGTATAGGATTTCCGAGGAGCAGCTGGTAGATTTAAACCGCCAACCTTGCAGTTGAAACTGACTTTGTGGTTCAGTGCATTATCCTGTAGCACCATACCAGGACCTAGGACAGATAGTATTTCTGTGGTTGGAATGGAGAGGGAAGGACATCTCAGGGAGAGGAGAGAAGACAATGCGGTGACTAGCCTGTCATAGTTGGAACTTAGTGTCTGTCCATGGATACCCTAGGACCTGCTCCCCATGCCTCAGATGTTGGTGTCTGCCTCCACCATCCTGCCTCTGAGCTATGGCTAAATCTCATCCAAATAGGCTTCTTGGGAAAATAAGAGCATCTTTTAGCCAGTTTGTAACGGAAGTGGTCCAGACCCTGCTCTGGATGAATATTTATATATATACCAGGGGCCTTCAAAAACTTCATGGGAAAATTTCATTATCTTTTCATTCCATTTTTCCATGAACTTTGAAGCCCCTGGTACATGTGCATACAACTGTTCTCCTCCCCGTCTGTAATAACGACACCATGTCCCTGTCTCCTTCAGGTAGCTGCTGCTTCTGGGCTGCTCCTCAGTCTTGTACTGTGTATACTTGTGACATGTGGTTGTATGCCCAGGTCCCTTGCACTCAGCGAGGGACTGGTCCAGGGAAGAGCTGGCAAGGGCAAGGCCCCTGGTCAGCCCAAACCGGCCGAGCCCTAGTACGACCCATCTCCCACGCAACTTCCAGCCCGTGGAAATTTCCGTACTTTCTCTGCCCTGGTTACAGCTCTTATTGCTGTATTTATCACCCTGGAGATACACTAGCACAGGCACACACATGCCACACACACATGCATCAACACACGAGGTGCCTGTGTACCTCAGCCTACACTTCAGCTCTGCAAGTGCATACTACACACACATACACACACACACAGCACGTGTAGGGACACCCCCACACACAAGCTCTCTAGGAAAATTGCTCTCCTTCCTTTCTGCTCCTCCTCCTCCACTCTGTCCTCCCACCTCCACCCACCCTCAAACAAGAGACCAAAGAGATGGGCTGGACGCTGCCTCCCACCACTTGTCAGCCTTGGGAGGTTTTCTCCCACTGTGGCTATAGTGTGTTCTCAATCTGCACCCCTCCCCCATCTGTCTCCCCAGCTCCCCTTAACCCTTCTCTGCACTCTTGTATGTCTGTCCCTCCACCAAAGTCACTCTGAGGCCTCTTTGTCACTGTGGAGGTGGAAACTTCCCTGTCTTCTAAGGGGCTGCAGGACGGTGATGGAGACAGTGGGCTAGGCCAAGGAGCCTGAACCTGTCACCTCTGTTCCCTCTTCCTGGGTTAGGGGAGAACTGTGTGCCTGGTGCCATGGAGACCAGTGTCATGGCAACACAGCTGGGCTGGGCACAGCCTTCCTTAGTGTGGGGCAGGAGAGAGCACAGGGGGAGCTGCCAAGAGGCCTTGAGGTGGGCCTGTGCCTGATGCCCAGGCTTGGCTGCCATGTCCACCTTCTCCCACTACCCAGGACACCCCACCTGTGCACCACACTGTCCACTGCTACAACATACTGATTTCAATAAGGAAAGCAATTTCTCTGGCAAACACAAGCTTTACAATTGAGGACCCTGAAGTCACATTCATAGACTGACTGCGGGCCAGAGAGAGCAGGAACTCGCCCAGGCTCACACTGAGTCTGGCTGAGCTTCTAACTCAGACCTCAGCTCTCTCTGGTCTCTCATCTTGCACCCAAGTCAGCGATCACCAGGGACAAAAGGGTCTGTCCAAACATGGCTCCAGCCACCTGCGAGGTCTCTAGCCAGTTATTAGTGTCAGCAATAATAATGATTGTGCAGATAATAGTGGTGCTGATAATACCATAGGAGAGATAAGCGAGCACCCACCACCAACTATGCTAAGAGCCATAAGTCCTATGAGGAAGGGATCCTTTTTGTTCCCGTTTTGTAGGTGAATAACCCAAGGTATGGACTCGCCATTGTCAGGAGACTTTGATGAAGGTGCGGCAGGAACACAGACCCCACTTGGAACAGGTGGGCTAAGTCTTTGTACCTGGTGCTCCTTAGCAGGCACCTTTCTAGAAATGAGGGGCAGTTTCAGGGGTCACAGGGAAGATCGGAGACTTAGTCTGTGTTTGGCTTTTGAGTTTCTAGAAACCAACTGGTGGTGTGCTCTGGAGTCAGTTCCAGCTCATAGCGACCCTGCACAGAGTTTCTGAGGCTGTAAATCTTTATGGGAGCAGAAAGCCTCATCTCTCTCCCTCGGAACAACTGGTAGTTTTGAACTGTCAACCTGGAGGTTAACAGCCCAACTCATAATCACTACACTACCAGAGCTCCTTAGAAACCAGCTTGTTAAGTGCCATTAACAAGTCGGTACCAATTCACAGCGACCCTGTATAGGGTTTTCAAGGAACTGCTGGTGAGCTTGATCCGGCAACCTTGCAGTTCAAAGCGACCTTGAAGTCCAGTGTATTAACCCAGAGTGGAGGCTATTTTTCTGAGAAGATGGAGAGGGAACAGCACCTTCCTACCGTGGTTAGATCTGGGAAGACCTTCCTTGCAGCCCAGCATTGTAGACACTGGCTCCTAGTTCCCAGCTCCTTTTAGAGTGGGGGTCTAATGCTTAGGCTGGAGGGCA